CTGGGGTGCACAGTCTGGTGCTGGTGGGTGCCTCTGCTCTGGGACGTCCTCACAGACCCAGGCTCCCGTCTCTCATCCGCAGCCCACCTCATGGTCTAAAGTGTTGGCTCACCCACGCCCAGCCTTCTGCCACGTTCCAGCCAGCAGGACAGAAGTAGGGCTGTAGAAAAGGGGACAAGTGGCCACCAGCCGTCTTTTAAGGAAGCTTCCCAGAGGCTGTCACATTGTACATCTGCTTAATCTCATTGGGCAGAACATAGTCACCCGGCCACGCCCGGCTGTGGCAGAGGCCCGGAAAGGTCATTTCTCCTCTGCGTGGACGTGAGCTCCATACAAATGCCTGGAAAGTGGTACCTTTCACCAGCCCGTGGCGTCCTGCAGGTTGAGTGGGCTCCATGGGGCCCCATGCCAAGCCGAGGAGGTTGAGCCTCCTCTGCTGGACTGTCTGTCCAGCCTGTATGCCCTGAGAGCATCTATCGAGATCTTCAGGCACATTGGGACTGCCCCTCGACATTTATCACCTTGACTGGTGGCCTTTTGGCTTTGCAGTTAAGAGAATGGTCGTGTCCTAGTGATGACCCCCAGCAGCTCTGAGATTCTGGACACATTTCTGAACCTCTCTCTCTCTCTCTCTCTCTCTCTGTTTCTTCATCTGCTAAGTGAAGCTAATAACGGTGTCCACTTCACTAAGCAGTTATTAAATGAACAGAGCAGGATTAAATGAATTAGCAAAGCGTTTACGACAGCTCCTGATAGTAAATGGTAAGTGTTCAACATGCTACATGTGAGCGCCGAGGACGATGGTTAGAAACCCGGAACGGTATTCTCTTCTTCAGCTTTTGTTTCCATAAATAGTAACGGAACCCCTCAGATGGCAGGTGGTGGTTTTGGAAAGGCAAACACAGTTCTTCAAGTCCTCCACCCTCCATTCTACCAAAAGGAAGTGGGACTCTTCTTCTCGACTTCCTGACCTCGTAGCCTGACTAGAAGATTGAAGCTTGCTCCTGGCCAGTCTAGTTAGAATCGAAGCCCAGTATGTCACGGTGCAGGGGCCTCCTCATGTACCGCTGCACAGGCAGCTCCTTTCCAGACTCAGTTCAAATGCCCCTTCCTCCACGCAGTCTTCACTGATTTCTCACCCTTTGACAAAGCTCCTCCAAGCTAGAGGTAACCTCTCTCTGGACCCCCCAAAGCACTCCGCCCATACCTACTGTTTTCTACATGGTAGTAGAATTCATTATGTGTATCTCACAATTGTTCTCTTCGTCTTTACATACTTCCCAGTCAGGATCAGTGCCAGGCTCTACTTTGTATCCTCTGGAATGCCCTGAACACCATGTCCAGATGCAAAGTAGGTGAGGGTGACTGAGCAGATTTAGCAACCTCAGTATCAACAAAGTGAGCTCTGTCAGGCTGGGTACGTTCAGCTGTAAGTAAGAGAAAATCCGAATAAAGGTGCTTGAAATAGTAAGGACGTGGAGTTGCATTCTAGAGCAGAAAGTCAGGAGGTGAGCAGCCTCAAGCCCGGGCCATCGACCCATCAGAGTCACCATCTTTGGGCTCCTTTTGTGCCTCCTTCCTAGTCACAAAATAGCTGCCACAGCTCCAAGCACTGCTCTCCCCTTTTGTGAGAGTAGAAACCCTTTCCCTTTATATCTCACTGGCCGAAACTGGGTTGCATGATAAGACACCACCAACCATATCCGTTGTCCTAGCTTTGTTGACACATTTATGCCAAAGAAATAGGGAAAGCCAGAGCTGTTCAGGGACAGATTTCTGGAGAAAAGACCAGTGTAGATTTTAGAGCCCTTTAGCCTTCTGTGGGTATTGAAAACTAATGGTCATCCCATAGATTTGGACCATGCTTAGTTTACAAAACATTTTCATATTTTGAGGGCACCTGGTGGCTCAGTCGGTTAAGTGTCTGACTTCCACTCAGGTCATGATCTTGCCGTTAGTGGATTCCATGCTGACAGCCCAGAGCCTGGAGCCTGCTTTGGATTCTCTCTCTCTCTCTCTCTCTCTCTCTTTCTCTCTCTCTCTCTCTCTGCCCCTCCCCTGTTGTGCTCTCTTTCTCTCAAAGATAAACATTAAAAAAATTTTTTTTTTATTTTATTTTGAAGGCAGGATCGCTAAAGGTTTGAGTGCCTGCTTCTGCCATGTTCCTGCTGGGTGATTTGGTGCAATTTCCTAGCCTCTCTGGGCCTCAATCTGTCATCTGTAAAATGGGAATAATAGTAGAATCTATGAGATAAGGTTTCTGTGTGCTTGGCACACAGGAAGCACTCCTTAATTTACTATTATTAGGTCACTATTTAGTGACCCTGTCACTCCTCTTAGATAGAAACAATGAGAGTGTTAAGGCTCAGAGAAGCTAGAGGACTTACCCACGCACTCACAGCTGAGTACAAGATCTGATCCAGATGGTCTGATCTTGTGCTCAGGGCCCTCAGCCCTCCTGTGTTTCCTTCTTGAATTCTCTGTCAACACTTACTGCATGTTGCACCTGGTGGCTGAATAGTGTTTCAAAGGTGATGCTTTGGTCTGCCAAACGTCCTGTGAATCATCTGAAAACAAGGACTATGTCTAAGGTCTCTCCTACACCCCAGCCCCTAACACCAAGTAGGGGATAGGGAAGACTCTGGTGAAATGGGTTTGTGAGGGGAGAGATGGCCCTTCCATGGGGGCTCTTTCCTGATGGGGAACAAAGGCCCAGTGTGTGCTGAGCCCAGGGTGGGGTGAATAGGTAGGGCCCACTCTGAGAGCCCCCCGACTATCCTTAGACTTCGGGAAATTGCTGTTGGAGCAGTAAGTGTTAGCAGCATAAAAAATCAATTTGTGTCCGAATTGACGCTCAGAATTCCCTGTGGCCTCTATAAAATACCATTTTACCTTTTTTCCACCCATCTAGCTGTGGAGGCAGTGGCAGATTTACATTATTTTACATCCAGTTAAGGTTGTTTTTGTGTTTGTTTTTTTTTTTTTTTTACCTCCTCTTGGTTATGTTTTTAAGTAGAACATTTATTGCTTTACCTGTAAAGAGGTGTTTTTGTTAAAGACAATAGTGCCCTTTAGGTAGTCACAGAGTGTTATTTCACAAATACCTATAAAACTATTAAACAAGCTGGGATCGCTGGAGCTCTGATTAAAAGGTGCTTTCTAGTTGTCTTTATCTTCGGAAGCCCTGTGAAATGGCTTAACCACCCTTCTTCCCACTGTGAGCAGACCAGCTCGCAGAGAAATAAGGGAAGACACGGGCAGGTCTGCTTAGACTGTAAGGGCAAGGTCGGCATTTACGCCTCCTGAACCCTCAACTGTGTTGGGGATCTAGCTTCGGGCTTTGCTTACTAGCTTGCAATTTTTGCTTAGGACCCAAGACAGGGTTTCTGGAGGCCCAGGGTTCCTACGTGGTGGGCGGGACCAGAAGGCAGGAGAGAGGGCCCAGGTTGGGGGGGAGGGGAGGAAGGACCCTGGAGCTGAGTAGTTCCTGATGCCCACTCCTGGCTCTGCCACTTACGAGCTGTGTCCCCAGAGCAAGTTATTTGACCTCTCTGTGCCTCCATTTCCTCGCTCAAAAACGGGGATCATAACACAGCCCCGTAACCAGGATGTTGGGAAGGTTAAAAGACGCGTGTACTTGGCAGGGTGTCAGTAAGGTGACAGCTGAGAGTGGCCACCAGTAAATGCCACCAGTAAGGTGGCAGGTGCTGAGAAAGGGAGGTGAGGGAGAGGACTCTGGCACGAGGGTGGCCACCCCGGTGGCTTCTAGATTTTCCGCCCCGCACATGCCCTCTACAGCCTTCTCGCTCGGCCAGCATTTCCGGGCAATCTGCCTCCCTTCCTGCCCCCTGGAGCTCCCCGGCCCGGAGGTGCCCTCTGTTCCAGGAAGAAGGAAGCTGCCAGGCGCGTACTCAGGGGTTCAGACCGCACTGCCTTGGTGTTGATCACTTAGTTGGGACTGGAGTGAAGTTTGCCCCGGTGTCACTGCGCGCGGGAGTGTGGGGCAAGGTGTAAAGGCCCTGAGTAGAAGACCTGCCTCTGAGACCACCCCACGGTTGGCAGAGCCCCTTTCCCACGGCCACGGGGCTTCCGCCCTTGTCCCTCCGGAGCGCCCACCAGCCAGACCCTGGTCTCCGTGCCCCGCGGGTAATTCGGTTCGTCAGCACAGGAGCTCCAGGGCAGTTGCCACTGCGACTCCCACTCTGCAGGGGAGCAAACTGAGGCACAAGAGGCGGCCCCTAGAGTGGGTGCTCGGCCACGCTCCGCTTGCAGGCAGCGCGCTCTTTCCGCTGCTGGATACGGAGCGGGTACGGAATCAGAGCCCTGGCCGCCGGGTCTCTTGAGTCTCCGCAGGAAGGCTTGCTCACAGTGGCTATAATAAGACTTCGGATGAGTTGCATGAAATAATAACTTCCCACTTTTACCATCATCATCGTCCTCATCCTCAAACCCTTCCCAGGGGCCCAGCCCTGTGTGGAGCCTTTGATGTGCATCATCCCATGTAATAAACAATGCCGGTACTGTTGTTATACCCCCCCCCCCCCCCCCCCCATTTTATTACCTTTCAACGTTTTTTTAATTTATTGCTTTTAATTTTTATTAATGTTTGTTTCTGAGAGAGAGTGCGAGCGGGAGAGGGGCAGAGAGAGGGAGACACGGAATCCAAAGCAGGCTCCAGGCTCTGAGCTGCCAGTACAGAGCCTGACGCGGGGCTCGAACTCCCGAAGTGAGTTCATACCCTGAGTCTAACCGACTGAGCCACGTAGGTGACCTTACTGTACCCATTTTAAAGTTGAGTGAACCCTAAGGATCCCCATTCTCTCCTTGTGTTTTCATTTAAAAAAAAAAAAACAACAACAACACTTCCATTAGTTAATCATTTTACATTCCCTCATTACAGCCAGGTTCAAAAACATTAAGTAACTGAGCATTTCACACCATACCCTTGATTCTGAGATTACCAAGGTACCTCAGAATCTAAACTGTATGTGATGCTAATGACAAGACGCTCTTCCCTGAATCTGTCCCCCCAAGGAGCTGTAGTAGGTAAACGTTGTTGTGTTAGATGTGTTCGTTTGTTCTCAAAGTAAACCTGAAATTGCTTTTAAATTTGTTTTGAAATACTCCCTCGTTCTGTGTTTTCACACACTCACAAAGCCCTTCCCTTCCCCCATCAGTCTGATTCTGAGGCTTTGCTGCATTAGGAGAATGTGAACTGGCACTGAGATGTAAGCAATGAATGCAAGGGTACTAGTACAGGGTGGGGATCTCAGGGTTTTAATGAGGGCTTGGGAAACTGAAGATCTTGAAAGTGGACGGGGAGATAAATGTTATTGCAATTAATGCTGCATATTGAAAAGTAACCTCTTCAGCATAATCAATACGGGGACCTCCCTGACCTTCCCTGTCACCTGGAACTTCACTTCTGGGACTCTGTGGTACTGTTAATAAAAAAGACAATCGGGGCGCCTGGGGGGCTCAGTCGGTTGAGCGTCCGACTTCGGCTCAGGTCATGATCTTACGGTTCGTGGGTTCGAGCCCCACATCAGGCTCTGTGCTGACCGCTTGCTCAGAGCCTGGAGGCTGCTTCAGACTCTGTGTCTCCTTCTCTCTCTGCCCCTCCCCCACTCACGCTTTGTCTCACTCTGTTTTTCAAAACTACATAAATGTAGTAAAAAAAAAAAAAAAAAAGATAATCACCAGTCTGCCCTCATGTACTGTGGAACCTTTCCAGTTTTGGGGGGTTTTTTGTTTGTTTGTTTGTTTGTGTTTTGTTTTGTTTTGTTTTTGAAGATGAAATTAGAAATCACCACTTCTAGAACATTTATGTGTATATATATTTTACTCCCGGATATATTTATTCAATGCTTGCTCTGTAATGAGAGTTTTAACTTTTCTGTTTTCCTTTCCATTATCCCTGAAAAGAAGGGATTATGGAAAAAAGATTAAAGTAGTACAATGGGACCCAGTGTTTGCTAATGTGCTGTCAGAGGTATTTGTGGGCCTCACCAAGGTTTGTGTCTTTTATGAAAGCCTTTCAGATTGCAATTATCTAATAGACTGGGAAACCTGTTTGTATTCTTGCAGGCATTAAACGTCGTCTTTGAAAAGATCCCAGAAAATGAGAGTGCAGACGTCTGTCGGAATATTTCAGTCAACGTTCTTGATTGTGATACCATAGGCCAAGCCAAAGAAAAGATTTTCCAGGCATTCCTAAGCAAAAATGGCTCTCCTTATGGGCTTCAGCTGAATGAAATCGGTCTTGGTAAGGCAAGGAGGGAGCTGTTCGGACCCAATGCCTGATGAATGTCTCTTCCGCCGGCTCTCTCCCTCCGTCTCTCCCTTTCCCCCCTGCCCACAGCATGCATGCGTCTGTTTGTTGAAACTTACGTGGCCTGGGGCTGTTCCCAGAGGGCATGTCTGGGGGCCAAGAGACTGTACTGCTTTCCCAAGAGCACGTACATGATTTTTTCCTAGGCAGCGTTATCCTTCAAAGATGCTGGAGTTTTGTTTTCGGGGTTGTTTTTTTTTTTTTTTTTTTTTTTACAAAAAGATTATGTTTGTAAATCAGATTCATGAGATTGGTAACCCTGAGACTGAATGGATTCACCTTGCGTCAAGAAGTACAAAAAGGTGTAAACCCCGCGCCCTGTGTGTGTGTTGCATTTCACATTGGCATTTGATTTGTTTGTTGTGTGTCATTAGCGGGTGGCTCAGACTCTGGGTGTTAACTGAAGCACACTGGAAAGGTCATCTTCGTCTCTGCTAATCGCGTCCTGCATTAAGTATATTCTCCATCCTCCCCAACGCGAAGCAGCATCTGCTATGAATTCATTTTCGGGCTCTACTGGTCTACTGCAAAGGAGAACATATGCATGAGCGCTCTAACAGGGCTCCGCTCCACTCAAATGTTCAGCAACATTTTAAAGTTGAGCTCCCCGCAGCCCTCCCAAGAGACTGTCGTGGGATTTTATAGCAGATAACGGGACAGGCAAGAAGAGTAAAATCACAGCAGTGACAGACAGCGTAACAATGTTTATCTCCCCTCAATGTACAGTCGTAGCCTCCACGAAGCAGGCAATTAAAATCACCCCACCTGGCTCTCCAAGCCAAACCTCCTGCTAAAAGGCCATTTAGAAAAGCCTGGAGGCAGGGCCTGGCAAGTTGGGGTGAAACAACGCAAGCGTGCAACTACAGGACTTGGCTTCAGAGAAGGGACCAAGGCACCTCTCTTCTGCCTCTTTTCTGTGTCCTTCTGTTGGGTGGACTGTTGGGCACTTGCAGACCTTTTTCGCTCATTTGGTTAGAGGCCGGGCCAAAGAGGCCGCCCCAGACGGGAAACCATCACCTGACCTGGACTGTCAACTTCCTTCCCTACCTTTGCAAAAGTGTGGCTCTGGCTGCCGAGAGCCGGGCACATGGAGCCAACAAGCGTGGGGAAAACAGTCCAGTGGCCTTAGTCCTGCCAGTGCCGGGTCAGCAGTAGCAACCTCTTGCCGTTCTTGCGTTTGAGCCCATCGGTTCTTCTTGATGCAGGAAAGTAGGGAGCAGAACAAGTCTATTAGAAGCTTCTGATGGGAAATGGGAACACTGCATTCCAGCCGTGTCAGGCTTCTGCATGTGTGATGATCTTGCAAACTACCTCCAAGGCTGGCCCCAGAAAACGAGGGCAAAAGCCTTAGAACCAGCCATAAATTGTATAGAAATCCAATACCGGAAGCAGCTGTGGTTAAGACCGCTTCTAGCAGAGGCTCACAAACTCAGATGCCCGCAGGGGCAGGAACTACCATAAATAGGGGTGTTGGCCCATCTAGGACACTGGGAAATGGCAGGACCCAACTTAACTGGGGGGAAAGACATGCCATCTAAAGGATCGGTGCCGCTTGGCTTCAGCCAGTGACTGCATGCGGGCCTGTGTGGTCAGTGTTATCCGATGATTCCGTTTTTTGTTTTTTTGTTTTTAAAGAGAAATCAGTCCGAATTTTTATGTGCAATCTCCTGCCTTGAATGCTGGTGACTTGGTGCCGAATTGACTTTGAATGTTGGTGCTGAATAAGTAAAACGTTGTGTAGGTTCACACACAAAAATACACATCTGTGGGCCACATTCTAGCTCCAGGGCACAGGTTGGCAATCTCCATAAAACAGTTTGAATGGTGTGGCTTGAGATATTAGCCCACCAATGCACCCCCACCCAAGGACCTACAGAAGATAATTCACAATGCACCTGCTTGGGAACTTGAAAATTTGTTTTGGGAATTTTTTGAAGAGCTTAGTCCCTGTAAGGATGCATTATTTTGTTTCCATTGGCTTTACTTACAGGCTTAGCCTCGGAGTACAAGCTTCAGGGAAAGGTAGTCTTTTTTTCTTTTTTTAAGTTTATTTATTTACTTAGAGTGAATGAGCTAGGAAGAGGTGGGGGTGTAGAGAATCCCAAGCAGGCTCCACATGCAAACACAGAGCCCGATGCAAGGCTTGAACTCATGAACCGTGAGCCGAGATCTTGAGTCAGATGCTTAACCAGTTGAGCCACCCAGGCGTCCCCAGGGAAATGTAGTCCTAAAAGTCAGAGCCCTATACACAAAACAGAAACAAAACTCAGGCTACCAGTCTGGCTCATATATCTCCAAACTTTCAGACACACATTAACCAATTGATCTAAGATTTATTTATTTATAAATAATAATTGCTACCATTACAGAATAGCATTTAAACTTTCTCACTTCAATTTCAAAGGAGAACAAAATGCACTCTTTTTTTTCTTTTCAGAGCTGCAAGTGGGCACACGACAAAAAGAACTTCTGGATATTGACAGTTCATCTGTGATTCTCGAAGATGGAATAACCAAGCTAAATACCATTGGCCACTATGAGGTAAGAGCAAGGCTTAGCCCCCAACATCTCCTTCCCCAGGCCCAATCCTGCCTCGATAGATCATCTCCAGGTAGTACCCCGGCAATTGTTTAAAAAAAAAAATTACGGGACCCCCACCATTTTCTGGCAATTTGCAGATGGCTTGTTTGCAGGTCAGCAGTTTTCTTTAGTTGCTCATTTGGAAGAGCCTGGGCATTACTGTGTCTCGTGGTCAACAGTTCCCCCCCTCCCCAAGGCCTTCGATTTTCATGTGACTGATCAGTCTCCATCCGGCAGTTTGGGTGGGAAACTTCACCTCACAGGTCTCCACGGTGTTCAGAGAGCCACATAACCTTTGTGTGAGGTCCTTTTTTTCTGAAGAAGTCCTACATTTCCTGTTCATTTGCAATATTCAGTAATACATCCTTTTTTTATGTTTATTTTTGAGAGCCAGACAGAGAGAGCGAGAGCAGGGGAAGGGCAGAGAGAGAGGGAGACACAGAATCTGAAGCAGGCTCCAGGCTCTGAGCTGTCAGCATAGAGCCCAATGCGGGGCTCGAACCCACAAACCCATGAGATCATGACCCGAGTCAAAGTCAGATGCTTGACCGACTCAGCCACCCAGGTGTCCCCAGTAATAGCTCCTTTGGCCCCTGACCCACATGCTGGGTGAGTGCCAAGGTGGGTGTGGGGTGCACATGACCTCTCAGAGATCTGAGAAGCTTACATGGCACGAGAGAGAGAGAGAGACAGACAGACAGACAGGAGGCAGGGAAGGTTCTGGAACACACTGAGATGAATACTGGGAGTCATTCAGCAACATTATCCAAATCTTTGGTGAATATCTGCTAGTGCCGGGTTGTACACAAGAGGAAAAAAGACCAAGTTCCTGACTTCAAGGAGCCTACCACCCCCGGGAGGGGATGAAGAAGGGGGAAGACAAGTATGAGGCAACACCTATGGTGTAAGAGTGCTGTGGCTCAGAGCATCAGAGAAAGCTTCCTGGAGAAAGCTGACTAAGCAGAGACCTAAAGAATGAGTACTTTCCCCGTCCGGGATGGGGCACCAGCACACCCCACAGGGAAGGGAGAAGACACATGTTCTTCCACACAAAGACTTGCAGCTGCCTAAAACTTGAGATTGGGGGGGGGGGGGGGTGGGCAG